TTTTTTGATTTATTGTAGAGATGAGGTCTCGCTGCCCAGGCGGGTCTTGAACCCGCGGGCTCCGGCGATCCACTCACCTCAGCCTCCCAAGGCGCGGGACGACAGTCTGAGCCACCGAGCCCAGCTGCTCCCTCCTTTCATGCTTGTCTTCCCCACGCCTTGCTGGGTGGTGATTTCTGTAAGTTTTTCCTTTGTCAATCAAGTCTTTTCAAAGCATTCAACTTAGCTTGTTAGAAATTAAGTTTTATCAAAACTTGATTCCTAGGTTTATATTTCTTCATTTTTGTAATGTTAACATAGTCCCAAAACATGCAACAGGTATGATCAAACTCACGGGGGCTGACATTTAGGTTCGCAAACTTGCCACCTTACGCTGGCAGCGCTGTACAGACAGTTTGGTATGTTCTGCTAGCCTTGGTATGTCGTGTCTCACAGCTGTGTTTGTGTCGACGTGTGGTGGTGTCGCATGTTTTTGTGTGCCATCGTGAAAATGTCGGAGCTTGAATCAAGGCAACAAACAAACATTAAATTTCTTGTTAAAGTTGGCAAGAGTGGAAGTGAAATCAGGGACGTGTCAGTCCAAGTACACAGGGATAATGCCAGAAGAAGATGGCAGTGCACAAACGTACTAAACGTTTTTCTGAGGGGAGAGAAAATGTCACTGATGAAGAGGGGTCAGGACGGCCAGTCACGAGCAGAATTGATGAAAACATTGCAAAAATGCATCAAGTTGTACATCCAAATTGTCAGCTGACAGTGAGAAGCACAGCAGGCCAAATGAACATCAACAGAGAAACAGGAAAATCTTAGCTGAAAACTTTGACAGGAGAAAGGTGTGTGCAAAAATGGTCCCTAAGGAGCTCTTGCATCACGACAATGCACCGGCTCACACAGCCCTGTCTGTGAGGGAGTTTTCAGCCAGGAAGCAAATAACTGTTTTGGAACACCCTCCCTCCTCACCTGATTGGGTCCCCAGTGACCTTTTTCTTTACCGAAAGATAAAAGAAATGTTGAAAGGGAGAGATTTTGATGACATCAAGGGGATATCACGGTGGCCATTTCAGAAAAAAGAATTCCAAAATTGCTTTATGGGTGGACTGGGTGCTGGCATCAGTGCCTGGCTTCCCAAGGGGAGGACTTGGAAGGCGACCACGGCGCTACTCAGCAGCGAGGTAGGGAGCACTTTCGCGAGGATGCGTCTGCCAACTCAATTGTCAGCCCTTGTTGAACACACGCCAAGAATGCTGATACGAATCGGCAGAGCTTCGATCTCTAGTAGCCTTCCCAAACTCGGCACGGTGACACTGAACTCCTGACGCCCGTGCCCAAAGGCCCTCTGCCCACGTCGCCTCTGTCTGGGGAAATGGCGGTGCCGTCCTCCCGGCTCCGAGGCCGAAGACCTCTTCCTCACATTCGGGGGCCCAGACCCTGCCGGTGCCGTGAGACGACACCCAGAAAGAGAAAGAGCCCAGCGCTCCCAGCTAGCTTCGCAGCCCCCGCCGTGGCCCAGACCCCACAGTGCGCATTCTGGTGACCGTGACGCCTCGCAGCTGGCTTCCGCGTTTCTTCCCATGAGAGCCCTGGTGGCACGGCAGCCGGAGCGAACATGTCACACGTATGTCAGAGCGTGTCCAGATCCACCAGTGGCCACCTTCTTGGAGCAAAACTGAAGTCCTCGCGAGGCTGCTGGAAGGGTCCTGCGGTCTCTCCTGCCCCTGCTGTCAGGGTGCCCACGCATGCCTGCTGGCTCTTCCCAGAAGACGTCGGACAGGTCCCCTCTGGGCCTCCCGGGACCCCTCTCCCTCCAGATACTGCCGTAGCTCACACCTCCCCTTGCTCATAGGAGGCTTTCCCAGCCCCCCTGCCTAAAATCACAACGCCCAGCCTGGCCCCTGCACTCCGACGCCCTGCTCTGGTCATCCATGTCACCATAGCACTTGTCCCTGGTGCCACGGTTCGCGGATGTGCTCGTGTCTGCTGTCTTCCGCTGGGATGCATGTCCCGTGGCGGCAGGGATTTCGACCTGCTTTG